CACCCTCCCCATCCCTTCCTACCACCCTATCTTCCCCCTCATCCCTCCCTTCCTCCGCCCCCCCCCCCTATCCCCCTCCCTCCCTTCCTTCCTCCCTTCCACCCTCCCTCCCTTCCCCCCTCCCTCCCTTCCTTCCTCCCTTCCCCCCTCCCTCCCTTCCTCCCCCTCCCTCCCCCTCCCTCCCTCCCCCCCACTGGATCTCGCGACTGATTGCTGCCATCAGAATTATTAATGAGCAGAGTATAAAAAAAAGCTTTCCTTGACATGAGACTTTGCTCCCAGAGATAATCAAATCCGGGAACTTTTTATCCTTTTTTTATGATTTGTTTTGTCTTTTTCATTTTTTTTTCTTTTCTTCTCATTATTTCTTGTCTTAATTTTCTCTCTCTCTTTTTTTCCCCCTCATTGATTGTGATTTTCTTTTTATTTTGTATGTGGGATATTTGTATGTATTTTTAAGGGTTTGTTTTATTTTACATTTTTTCCATGAACATCTTTATTATCATTATAATATCATATTATAACAATGATCGTAAAGATGTTGATAGCAATGATAATAACAGTGATGATAATAATAATGATAATAATAAAAGTGATGATGATAGTAATGATAACAATTATAATGACAATGAAACGACCATATATATATGCACACACACACACACATATGCATATATATATATATGTGTATATATATATATATATATATATATATATATATATATATATATATATATATATATATATATATATATACATATACATATACATATACATATATATACATATACATATACATATACATGTACATATACATATACATATACATATACATATACATACATACATGGATAAACATATATATTTACAAACACACACACACACATATATACATATACACATATGTGTGTGTGTGTGTGTGTGTGTGTGTGTGTGTGTGTGTGTGTGTGTATGTGTGTGTGCGTGTGTATGTGCATGTGTGTGTAGACGAATAAGTAAATAAACAAATACAGAAATGAATATATATATATATATATATATATATATATATATATATATATATATATATATATATATATGTATAGATATATACATCTAAATATATATCTACATATACATATGCATATACATACATACAAAGACATAAACACACACACACACACACACACACACACACACACACACACGCAAACACACACACACATATATGTATTTATTTATATATATGCATATATATATAAATATATATATGTATATATATATATATATATATATATATATATATATATATATATATATATATATACATATATATATATGTATATATATTTATATATATGTATATATATATATATATATATATATATATATATATATATATATATATATATATATATATCTATCTATCTATCTATCTATCTATATATATACACACACACACACACACACACACACACACACACACACGTGTGTGTGAATTTTATGTGTGGATGACACGTGAATGACGTCCGTATTTTATGCATTCCAACACAAACTAAAAACAATATAAGCGAACATCACGATTGCAAAAGAAATAAAGTGCTATTCTTGCACTTTTTTTTGTAAGATCAGGAAATCAGCGAATAAATGTACACTATTTCCCGACTGACAGAAGGAAGGGAGAGAGACAAGGTAAGAGAAATGAGGGAAGTGCTTGGAAAGACAGAACTTAATTTATGTCTTGCTTATTCCTGGCGAAAAAACAAGATAGACTATATATATTTTTTCCGTTTGTTATCATTGTTTATTGTGTCTCTTGTATTTTCACTGTAAATTTCATAAATGTGGAGTATTTTTTGTTTTTTGTTTTATTTTGAGTACGACCCTTGACGAAAAATTGTATATGATTTACCAAAATGCCAAATTCGTTCGTCTTCACTTTTCACTTAATGAAAAGTGATGGCTTTCCCTCTATCCTTTACACGGATTTACACCTTACCCCCCCCCTTACCCACGTCACACCTCCTCCACCCCCCCCCCCCTCCACCACATCCACTTTTTTTTCTTTCTCTCTCTCTCTCTTTTATCCTTCTTCCCTAATTGCTTACGTGGCAGCGTAAAGACCATAACCGTGTCCTGTTGTTTACCGCATTCTCGTTCCTTGCTCGCCTTCGCACTCTGGGGAGCTTTCAGGACGTCTTGGTAGAAGAAATTGGAATGCTAGGAGGGTGGGGGGGAGAGGGAGGGAGGGTAACTTCTCTATTTGTCTATCTGCATATTCATTAATTTCTGTTGTTGTTGATTCATTGTAATGTTATTGTCATTCTTGTGATATATTATCGTCAATATAATATTTCCTTATCATCATCCTCATCATCACTATAAACATTATCACTTGTATTAAATTACTGATGTTGTTATTGATATTATTATTATTACGTTGTTCTTGTCATTGTCATTATCATTATGGTGATAATTATTATCATAATTATGATTATGATTATCATTATCGCTATTATCATGATTACTATTATTATCATTATGACTATCATTATCA